CCGCGCCCAGCGAGGGGGCGTCGCGCCGGGCGTCTCCTTGAGCCGCGGACGGTGAAAAGTGACGGAAAGCTCCATCTCGCTGCTGCCTGCGATGATGAACCTTTCAGCGTCCTGGTGCTCTGCTTCTGTCTGCGCGGCGCTTGCTGGCTCACCTTGCTGCTGGCACTGTCGCTGATGATGCCGTTGCTGGCCGCGGCTCTGGTAGCGCGCTGCTTCGGCCCGCGCGCTGGCTGATGTTGCGCTGTCAATGGACTCATGCGCTCGATGATGCCCGTGCGGTCACGCTCGCATAATGCGATGGATGGCGCCGTCCGTCCGGCGCCGCAGTGGCCCCATCTGCCCTTGCAACGATGAATGCCGCGGCGATGGCGCGGGGCGCCCGGGGCCCGACGGGGCCGATCTCGACCTGCCCCCGAGGCCCCGGCGCGCCTCCAAGGCCAGCCCGTAGCGCGTGGGCCGGGCCAGAAAACAGGAAGCACCGTCGTCGAAGATGCGGGAAGCCTCGTCAACGTTGTTCAACTCACTCGGGGCCCCGAGAACAGTCAAACGAAAGTTGCGCGTGAACACATCGGCGATTATGCGCCTGATGACGACGAGCATAGAGTACTCTCTGTAACGAGATCTGCTGATGCTCAGCACCGCGCCTCAAGGGCGGCTGGCCGCTGCGGGCCGGCGCCGCCCTCGTCGTCGAAACCCGCGCGCCGGGTGGCCCGTTGACGATGCGCCAGATCCGCGGACTGACATTCGATCGCTGGGGAGGCCGCGCCGGGCCCGCCATCGGGGCCGTCGCATGCCGCCGAACCTCCTGGGACTTCCAAAAAGCTAGAATGGGCGAAGGCGCAGCAGACCGAGAAGACGCTCAGCACCTCCCGTCTCGCGAGCCCGGCGCAGGTGCAGTGGCCGAGGGGGCGTCGGACATCTCCTGCCACGCTGCCGAGCACGCGCCAGGGCCCGATCCAATGGGGGTTCGACGATTGCCAAGCTAGCGAAGGACGCGCAGAAGTTCTCGCCGCCCACAATGACGCCCAACGTAGCCCCCCATGACTCGAAGACTTCCGCCCCGCGAGTGCGAGGTTTCAGCCGCGGGCGCGGCCGCTTTCTCTTCCGGCGCCTTCCCCGCGGATCTGGCGCCCCGGCCCAGCAGCGCGGGTTGTCCGCGCGCGCTGTGCCAGCGCTCCTGGCGACGGCCATCGCCGGCGCCGGAGACCGCGGGATGCCCGCGGTCCGCGGCCAGGCGGGCCCTCTCGGAGCAGGTCGCGCTGCCGCGCGGCCTCGGCGCTGGCACTCTGGCGCTCTCGAGCCTCGGCGCGTCGACAGCAGGCGGGGGTGGGCGGAGTGGCGGGCTGAGCCCCGCCGGCGTCGCCGTTCGATGGAAGCTGTTCTCGGTCGGCGCCCCCCGCCGCCGGATAGGGGCGCCCGATTGGGGGAAGAGGTCGTCGACCACCGCGATCTCGATGCGAGGCGGCCCCTCCCTCCGCCGTGAGGAGGCCCTCCCGAGGTGGGGGAGGAAGCCGCCGACTGGCGGCGCGAGCGCACTCCGCCGCCCCCGCCCACTGCCAGCCCTTCATCCACGTGAAGCAAGATCCAGCGCGCGCAGCCAGCAATGACGTAAAACGTAGCACGCCCATAGAGCGCAAGCCTCTCGCGAAGCAAATCAACCGCCGCCTGCTCTCGATGAGCGCCAGGCCCAGATGGGGCCGCGCACGGCCCCTCCGCGGCAGGCACTCAACATCTTGGGCACAGCGCAGCATCCGCTCTCCACGACCCCCCCAGAAGACGTGAGCCCTCTGCGTCGAGACGCGGCTCCAGACGAAGTTCGCAATGGGTGCTCTCAGGCAATGGCGCGAGCCCAAACTGGAAGGAGCGATGGTAGGCTGGCCGGGCCCCCCCCCCCCCCCGCAGGCGCATCGACCGCGGGGCAGCTCAAGATGGGCCGCTCTCGGCGAGGGCGCGCGCGCACTGGCTCCTGGGACTTCGCCGGGCCATCGAGGCGCGCGGTCACCTCGCGGCGAGAGCCGTCTTCGAAGTCGACGCCGACTGCCGAGCCGCGGGGCGCTCTGGCCATCCTGTTCAGCGCGTCGGTCGCCCCGTTGATCAGACGGACATGGGGCGCGCGCCTCAATTCTCGACTCGCGCGGCCACCTCCACGACTTGTGCTGGGCTCCTTCCATCAGGCGCGGCAGCGGGAATGCCGTCTCTCGCCTCGCGATGCGGAGAGGGCCCCAGCGCTGGGCCATTGTAGCTGTCTGCCGATGGGAGGAGGGAGGGGCATTGGCCCGCGTCGGCCGCGGGGCCACGGTGGCCGAGGCGGCGGCCACGGTGGCGGCGAGCGCGGAGCGCCCAAGGCCGGCGGCCCCAGCGTCGCTCCGCTGCACCCGACGCGCCGCCCAGCGCGGCCAGGCCGCGCGCGTTCTGCGCCCCTGTCTCGACGTCGCGCTCTCTTTTGTCGCGGCGGGCCTCGTGCCGGCTCGGCTCGGGGGCGACGTCATCCACCGCCGCGGCCGCGCCACTGTAGAAGCGGCACATCTGCCAGTGGGGATTGCGACCAGGGATGTGACCTGCGTCGTGGGTGGTTTATGCTCTGGATGGTAAAGATCGCGCTGCCTCCTCTCACTTATGCTGGAGCTCCGGGCAGGCCGGGCACGCCGCCTGTTCCGGGCACCGATGGCCGCCAACCACGGCGGCAGTGGGCACTCCGCTTATATGCACTGGCAGCCAGCGGGATCAGGGCACGCTGGCCACGGCGGGCACGATGATGGGGCACGAGTGGTGAAGGAGATGACGAAACCGACCTGTCTGGAGAACGGCTGCGACGGGCGCGGGGATTATGCGGGCGCGCCAGCCCAGGTGGCCCCGCCTTCTCTGCTTCTCCCCCTGCAGCCCTTTTTTTCCGCGTCAGAAAAGGAGGCACGGTTTCCTGCGCCCTGAATCCCGTGCTGCAAGAAGCTAACTACCCCTTCCGCGTCCGAGGGCCGCGCGCGCATCTGGGGGGCGGTCCCCTCGTGCTCAAGCTGGCGCTGCTTCTTTTCACAAGACCCGTTCCAGCTTTCTCGGCTGGGCGCGCGGGCCAGAGCGTGCTTCGGCAAGTGGGCAGGTCGCGGAGGAAACCATGAGCCAAAAACGCTGGCAGTTACGGTCGTCTGCCAGTGACTCAGATGCTCGAGCGCTCCCAAACAGTGCAAACACGACCGCGACGAACCTCGAGGCGAAGCGCAACTATCAGAGAAGCCATGCCGCCAAGGAGTAGTAGGGGTCCACACGGGCAACAATAAATAACTGCTCAAGTGCATCATTCAAGTGCACTTACCCCCCACTCTGGGATGGGGCAGTTTTGGCACCGTGGAGCCGTTTCACTGCCCAGTTCCAGTACGAGGATGCCGTGGCCGCTGAGCTTCCTGTCCGAAAACGCTGCCCAATCAGAGGCGAGGTACGCGCACATGGAGACGCCGAACACAGCCTCAGGCGGCAGCGGGACGTAAAGCCTGTCCAATGCTGACGATTTGTATCGATGGCCCCTTTATTGTGTAGGAGCATCGGCTTCGACTTGCAAGAATCAAACGAGCAGCTGCTGCCAGCACGTTGGCACAACGCGATCCCAGCGAGCCTCGCGCTGAGGGGTGCGCTGGGGGTCTGCATACGATAAGTGCTGGCAACCATGAGAATCCAAGTCCCCACCAGCCACCAGCAGCCGCCGCTTCGGGGCACCGGAGGCCCATCGGAGGTATGTGTTGACTCCTGGCTGAGGCGGCGGCGATCGCTGAGATTCAGGCCGCGAATATGGACATTAAACCGCGTCCATTGCGCAGCCACGCGGCAGCTGCAGAACTGGGGCAGACGCGTTGGCCGAACACGCATTGGAGCAGCTAGAAGATGTAGCAATTGAAGGGTGCGGTTTTGTCCGTGAAGGGGCCGTTTTCGTACTTAAGCGGGGGGGGTGCTGTGCGCTGGAGGGGGCCAGTTTTGCTTTAGAAGGGGCTGGTTTTGTATTTGAGCGGGCCGAGCTGATACTGGAAGACCGGGGAGAGCCTGAGCTGGAAGACGGCGATGCTGAAGAGCTTGCAGAGCAAACTGAGGAACTCGCGGGACCCTCGGGTCCAACAGACACGTCAGAGCGTGCAGGAAAGGAGGAACATGAATACGTCAACAAATCTGGAGTGACTTCTGTACCGGACTCGGGCTGATACCAGCCAAGCGAGGATCACCTAGACGAGGAGGAGGAGGAGGAGGAGGAGGAGGAGGAGGAGGAGGGGGAGGAGGGGGAGGAGGGGGAGGGGGAGGGAGGGAGTTTTTTTTGTTGCTGCAGAACACGCAGCCTCCAGGAGCCCGCCGCGCGAGGCCGCAACGGCCACCGAAGGCAGGGCGGGACGCAGCGGCCCCGACCCAACGAGCGCCCGCGCGGGGCCCACTCCCACGAGGGCCCGCCCACGAGGACGAGGGCCCCGAGGACGGGGGCCCGCCTACGAAGCCAGGGGACGCCCGCGAGAGCGAGGGGGGAGGGGGGCGGAGGCAGAGGCCCCCCAAATGAGGTCCGATCAGGTGGGGCCGGGGGATCGCACCGCATCGCCGCTGCTATCGGCGCCGTCGGCGTGGAGACGGTCGGGCCCCGCATCGAGCCGCCTCGCCAATGCATCGGCGATGCGGTGCAGCCCTCCGACCCCATCTGCTCGGAGCCAATTTGGTAGGCCTGCCTGGACATCCACGGCGAGGTCGAGGGAGGAGGAGAGAGGGAGGCCACCGGGCCGACCACCATTCACCACCATCGAATCGGGACATCGGATCGGATCGAAACTTGCGGCCGATCTGGCCGCATCGGCAGGGAGCCGAAATCGAAGCGGACCTGCCGCGTCAAAGTACCCCCTCACAAAGATCGGGCCGCATCGGACCGGCAGAAGGTCCGAATCGAGCCGGATCGAACTGATCGAGGCCGATGTCCAATCGGACCGATCGGATCATAATGGGCCTTGGGGGGGCGTCGTGTGACCCTTGGTGCTCCCAGCCGCCTTCGCCGTCGTCATCCACGGCGTCGGGGTCGCCCACGCCGCTCGCCAGCGAGAGCAGGTCGTCATCGTCGTCTGCCTGGCGGGGCAGCGTGGAGTGGGGACGAGGAAGATCGCGTCCGAGCGTTTTGGAAGATGGGCACGTTCTGGAGCAGGCTGGGGGGCCGACACGGCCCACCACCGGCTCTGGCCAGCAGAAAAGGGGGCCGGGGGAGGAGAAAGGGGCTCCCCGGCACCCCTCGTCGCCACGGCCAGAAAAGGCTCGAAAACATGTACAGCTTCGACCCCGCGAAGTGTCCAGGGACCGATTTTGAGCGGATTTGTATTAGCCCCCCCCTCTTGGCAGATTTTCCTGGAGATCCGACGTTGCGAAAAACTGCGTCATCGCAACAAATCGCGACCACAGCCCCGGACCCCATGTTTCTGCTGCGCTGCTCAGGCCAGATCGATCTGTGATGGTCCCAGGGCCCGAAACCGAGCGGAATCGCCCGTTGTGAACAGATTGCACCGCCAGGACCTCGAGGTGCTGAAAGCCCCTCCACAGCGCAGATGCCCCCTGCTGCTTCCAGGGCAGGTTTCCCCTGCGGGCCCACGGCCGACGACAGCAGCGGACGCGGCCCGAGGGGCCGGTGGCGGCAGGAGCGAGGGGAGGGGAGAGGCGGGTTGTGCTGGCAGGCTGCGACGGACAATTCCCTCCAGAGTTGCTTACCCGCGGAGGAGGGCCGGAGCCCCGAATCATCGGGGCTGGGGGTGGTCCAGGGTGTCCTGATCATTGGATACCGGATTTTTGTCGGTCGCGACCGCGAGATCGGTCGCCACCGATTTTGCTTCAATGTTCCAATGCCGGTTGCGACCGCGAGTTCTCGCTTGCCGATCGCGACCGCACAAGAAGTCGATCTGGCAGCTCCTGATTCGTGCTCCCGGGGCCCACATTGAAACTGCCCCGAGTTATCCTGGATAACTGGAGGCCTCCTAGATGGGGTCCGAGTAGATGGGGTCGAAGGATCGCGCGGGATCGCCAATGCATCACCGATGTATCGGCGATGCATCGGCCATGCATCGGCGACGTCGGCGATGCATTGGCGACGTCGATGTGGGAAGCACGGGCTCCACATCGAGCCGCATCGTCGATGCATCGGCGATGCGGCGCGATCCTCCGACCCCATCCACTCCGACCCCATCTGGGAGGCCTAGAATAACTCGGGCGCCACACCACTCCCGAATCATCGTGGCTGGGGGTGGTCAAAGGTAACTCCTGGTTGGTGAGTCGGGCGCCCGAGCGGGAGTTACCCTGGACCGTGGCTCTCGCGGATAACTCGGGCGTCCAAGAGCGGTGAGGGCTTGCTGCTTGGTCGGCGTTCTCGGCTCTCTTCTGAGACTCCGGGGGCGTCTGGAGACCTCCAGAGGCGAAGGACGGCGGGGAGCATCGAGGAAGGTCAGGATTTAGGTGCGCTTGACTCCGGTTTAGCATCCCGGCCCTCCCCCGTCGCTGCGGGTGAATCTGCCTCGAAATCCTGGTCACGGCGCGCCGCAGCAGAGGTCTTGGGGGCCGCGTGCCGACATTCGTTTGGGGGGGGAGAGAGCGATGGCGAGGGACCGATATATATATATATATATATATATATATATATATGTATGTATATATACATATATATATGTATATATACACATAATAGGAATGTATGTATATACGTACGAACATATATATATATGTTCGTAGATGTATGTGTATGTAGATGTATATACATAAACACATACACATGCACACATACCTATGTATATATGTGTGTAAACCAACATACTAGAACCACGCGCGCGCATCGCGCGCTGAGGTTCTAGCAAGTTCAGGTTGTAGTTTAAAATGTTCGGCGTCGGCGGACATATAGTGTCACACAGGTCGTGTCCCTCATGAGAACTCGCGACCTCTGCGCAGCGCCGACTCTCGAGGCTCGCCGGCTCGGCCTCGGCACGAGCCCGTGCAGCCAGCGCCAGCCCAGAGCCACAACCCGAGCACGCAGACGCGCAGACGCCAGCAGCGGCAGTCTGAATACGCAGGCGGTCCTCTGAGAGCGGGCAGTCGAACCGACTGGCAATCGGAGCACGCAGCGGGCGGCTCAGGAGCACGTGGGCCGCCCCGGCTGGCCGTCCCGAGCGGGCGGCCCAGTCCGACAGCCCCAGCGCGCGGCCGCTCCGCCGGGGCGGCCGACCGCGGCCCCGCTGCCCCGCCTGGGCCCTCGGCCCGGCAGCGGGCCCTCGGGCTCGCCCCCCCCCCCGGGGCCTCGCGCGCCCGCGACGAGGCCCACAGCCGGCCGCCGCCCTCGGCGCCCTCGGCGCTGGGCCGCCCAGCGCCCAGCGGCAGCTGCGGCCGCAGCGCGCGCCGCCCTATGGGGCGCCGCGCCGGCTGCGGTGGGGCGGCCGCCCGCGGCGTGTCAGGCGGAGGGCCGCGCCTGCGGCGGTGGTCGGGCCACTCCGTGGCGGGCGAGGATCTTGGCCACGTCCTCGGCGGGGATCCAGAACTGGTACACCGCTTGCGCGGCCGCCGGGCCCCGCTTTCGCTCGGCCTCCCGGTCCACCAGGCTGTATATGGAGGCCGCCACGTTCTCCGCGGCATCGCGGATTGCCGCGTCCGTCCCAGCGCGCTCGACGTAGTCCTGGGCACCGAAGTGGTTGGCGACGCTAGAGAGGAAGTTGTTGGTGAGCCCGTACTGGAACCTCTCCTGCAGCCTGAACCCCATGTTCATTTGGATAAGGCTGTCCATCACCTGTTTCCTGCTTTTTCCCAGCGTCCTCGCTGATATTCGAGGAGCAAGAAACAGCATCAACATACTTTCTCTGAGGTCCGCGCTGATTTCTTGGATCGGAGTTGGGCGCCACTGGTGGCGCCTCCAGCGCCGCCCTTAGCGCGCTCCGCGCGCCGGGGAGGGGGTCCAACGCCGATCCAAGAGACTCGCGCGGAGCTCCGAGACACTATGTTTATGCCATCGTCTTATTCCTCGAGCTATCTCTGCAGTGATGGCCAACGTTGCTGTGTCCACTCTCATCTTCTTGTACACCGGCCGCAGATACTCTTTCCACGCCTCTGCGTTGAACCGTAAGCGTGCTGGAGGGCAGAGCACCCGGACCTTGGCGCCGGTGTCCCTCTCGAGGCCGGCCAGCAGCGCGTCGATGCACCGGCCACTCGCAAGAGTGACCCCGCGCAAGGACCACCTCTGGTGTGCGGCTGCGGGGGCTAAATCCAGGTGCGCAAGCCAGTGCTTGCGGGACCGGGGAAGTGAGGGGGAACGATAGCGGGGGGGCCATCTTAGGAGGGGTACCTCGACCTCGAATCGGCGATGCATCGCCGACAGATCGGCAATAGGCCCCCGATATCGACTCCGCACGCTCCTGGGCGGGGTGGGCTATCAGGACCCCATCGGCGATCAATGGGCGTTTAGGGGTCGATGCATCCTCCTCGTAGCCTATCCTATCGTTGCCCCCGACCGCGCACCAAAGGCCGCTGCCGGCAGGGGGCCACTGCTTGCGCGCAGCCGAGATGTACTCGCCTGTAGAGGGGCTCAGGAGACCAGCGTCGTCCAGCACCTGAGAAGTCACGATAGGGCGATAGGGGGACCCGCTCTGGGGGCGGGGGGGAAACTCGACTTGGAATCGGAGACATGTGCGACGCCGACAGATCGGCGATAAGCCCCCCAATAGCGAGACCGCACGTTACTGGTCCGGTGGGATATCAAGCCCCAGTCGGCGATGCGTGGGTGATTGGGGGTCGATTCGCTCCTCCCTGCCTGAGGATATCCCCACAGTCATCCTTATTGTCTGGCTTTCGAGCTGACAGCTGGGGTCTCTGGCGACCGCTCGGGACGATCTGGGTACCCCCGAGCGCCCCACGGCGAGACGCAGACGCTGGAACGCACCCCCGAGGCTGGAAATCTCCAGCCTGTCGCCCCCATGAGCCTACGTTCGGGAACGTTTGTTCAGCGTGGCGCAGCAGCGGCCACTGCGACACGCTGAGCTGCAAGCGAATACGGTGGGGGCATTGGATAAGGAACCCTTAGATAAGGAGTCCAGGGTCTGGAAGCCCGCGGAACTCCAATCGTGGATTGGCCATGGATACCACCGCCGCCCTCATCAGGTAAGGAACCCTCCAGGGTCTGCAGCCCCCCGGGCACATTCCTTAACGAACGCCCCCACCGCGACACGCTAAGCTGCAAGCGGATAGCGTGTCCCTCCGCTCCGCGGGACCGGAGACCGGGAAACGCTCGGGACGTTGACGTTCGGGGACAGGGATATGGTCAGCGTGTCGCGCCGCAGCATGGTGGGCCAGAACCAGCGCCGCGACATGCCGAGCCAAAGTTCCTGACAGTCTCCCACCCCCTAGCTGGAGGCCCCCAAAATAGGGTCCGAGTGGACGGGGTCAGAGGATCGAGCCACATCGCCGATGCATCGGCGATACATCAGTGACGCATCGGCACTGTCGGCGATGCCTCGGGCGTGGACAAAAATCGGGCTCCACATGGAGCCGCATCGCCAATCCATCGGCGATGCGGCGGAATCCTCCGACCCCGGTTGCTCCGACCCCTTCTGGGAGGCCACCAGAGGTCTCGAACCACTCCCCAAGTCCGATACGTTCTTGGACGGTCCCGAAGCACAGGGAGGGCCCCCGGAGGCCGAATATTCTATTGAGCAAGGACCGACCGTCCTGGCATTCCTATAGTCCTACCACGAAATTTTCTTAGAACCCACAAATGTTCTAATAACAAAAACAATGAGCTTGGAACATAAACCCAATGTGATAAAACAAGACAGACTCCGCAAGAAATGTTCTAAGAAAATTTCGTGGAAACCACAAAAGGTTCTTAGAACATTACTTGGTAGGGGTATAGGCGAGCCAAGACGCTTCGCCACTGCTTCATTCTAGGAAAAGCCGTCAATCCTGATTTTCTCATGACCCGCGCGAGGTCCGGGAACGCTGCCCCGGGAGCACCAGCCCGTAATCGCCCTCGGCGCCGCCTGCCACCCCTGGGAGCCCCCCGCAGCAGGCCGCCGAGCCGGCGGCCACCAGCAGCGGCCGCCGCCGCCACGGCG